GATGAGGAGAGAGATTTTGCTTTTTGGTGTTGGAATTCGTATAAGTGCAGTTGTGAGAAAAAAAGAGAAGACAAACCTCTTTGCCTCAGTGTTTGTGTTGGATGATCTTCCCATCTATTGCGATGAGTGGAATGTGAGAAATCTTGGGCCAGTCAGGGCCGCTTCCTTTCTTGCATCTTTTCTTTAACTTGTTTGGGCAGCTCCGAATATGAAGTCGTCGAAGGGAGGACAAGTTGTTAAACCAGTCTGGCAAATATTCCATTCCACTGAATTCGAATATATTCAACTCCTTTAGAGCAGTGAGGTGTTGAATTTGTGGGAGGCGAGTACATTTTTCCCATCCACGCAGGGTCAAACCTTCAAGAGAGGCGTGGATGGAACTCAGACTTGGGAATTCTTCCAGCTCTTCTGAGAAACGGCCGATGTTTAATCTCTTCAACCTAGTACAACAGCCGAGACTCTCCTTTAGCAAGCCCACCAATTTCGGACAACCTAAAATGGTTAGAGAATGCAATTCCTTAAACTCTTCGTGAAAAGAGACCAGATTAGGGCAATTTTCATAACTGAGTCTCTCAAGACATAACAGCCCATTTGATAGACGCCTTAACCCATTACAACCCTTAATTGTAAGTGTTTTAAGAAAAGATAGGTTTCCCGATAATGCTTCTTCCACTCCATTGAAGCTTTCGATAGCTAAGTACCTGAGAGTAATGAGGCGTTGAATTTGATGTGGCAGAGTTACATTTCCCCATCCACCCAAACACAAGACTTCAAGGGAGGTTGGAGTGGAAGTGGAAGTGGAACTCAAATTTGGGAATTCCTCCAGCTCTTCTGAGAGAAGGCCAAGCCTTAATGCCTTCAAGCTGGCAAGGGAGCTCAAGATCTCCTTTGGGAAGCTCCTCAATTTTCGACATTCCCAAATATCCAACACAAGAAGAGATCGTAACTGTTTCAATTCTTCAGGAATAGAAACTAAATTACAGCAATTCCATATCTTTAATTCCTCCAAAGCAGTACAAGATGAGAGCCCACTCGACAGACACTCTAATCCATCACAATCCTCCACCTTTACTGTTTTCAAAGAGACAAGTCCTTCTAAACTTGGAACAAACTTCAATTTTGGACATTTCTGAATATCCAACTTAACAAGAGATCGTACCTGTTTCAATTCTTCTGGAATAGAAACCAAATTAGAGCATTTCAGTATCTTTAATTCCGCTAGAGCAATGCAGGATGAGAGCCCACTCGGTAGATACTCTAATCCATCACAATCTTCCACCTCTACTATTTTCAGAGAGACAAGTCCTTCTAGACTTGGAACAAACTTCAATTCAGGACACCTTTGCAAACATAATTGTTTGAGACACGTAGAGCTTGATAGGCTATCTCCTATGCTACTTATCACCTTGCAATTCCAAATCTGGAGTGCCTCTAGAGATGATAATCCACTAACCAAAAATCTTTCTAACTTATTACACCCAGTTATGGATAAGTTTTTGAGGGAAATCAATGTAAGTGCTCCATCACCATCACCCAAACTAGTCATTTCATCACAATAGTTAATCTTGAGTTGCTCAAGAGATGATAATCCACTAACCGGACAACTTTTCAACTTACCACACTGATATATGTGTAATCCTTTTAGAGACAACGATGTAAGTACTGCTCCATCACCATCACCCAAACTAGTTAATTCATTACAGCATATGACAAAAAGCTTCTGAAGAGAAGAAAACCCATTAATACCTGGAATTCTGTATAGCATCCCGCAATTGCTAATTCTCAGTTCCACCAAATTGTTGAGTGACAACAATTCTTTACTGCTCTTCAACATCCATGATGCCAAGTTTCTACCTCCATAGCCTTTAATACTTAATCTTCTTATATTTGAGTGAGGCTGGAGGCCTTCCAGAACATCTTCATCTAATATATCACGATTGCCTTCTTCTCTCCAACATAATTCCAACACATCAACTGCCTTCTCATGTAATTTAGCTTTCTCGGCTTCCGATTTGCCTTCAACAAGATCAAGCTTACGGATCTCTAGTCCTCCTTTGAGTCCTCTTAAGCTTCCCAGTTCTTCAATTTTACATCCCTTTGTTGTACTTACAAAAAACAATGGCAATGTTTGTAGTTTGGTTAGTCTCCCAAGGTTTGCAGGCATACGCTCTTCATCATTGAAATAAATATGCCTCAAGTTGATTAAATCTCCTATTCCTCCTGGAGGCATTTTAAGAGATTTGCAGTTTGTGAATCTAAATGTCTGTAGATTGTACAACTCGGAGATAAATTCGGGCAGTTCTTTCATTTGAGTTCGTGAAATGTCCAAGTACCTCAAGCTCTTCGAGTTGCCAAAGCATGTTGGCAATTGTTTTGCATCAGAAGCATCATCAAGGTTGAGAGCCCGCAACCTTTTAAGATCCACTTGCACATCACTAAAAACACCATGCTTGGAAAACAATGTCTGCAACT